TGCTGCCCAGGCGGGTCTCGAACCTGTGGGCTCAGGCAATCCACTCACCTCAGCCTCCCAAAGGCGCGGGATTACAGGCTGAGCCACCGAGCTCGGTGAGTCCTGTCTTTTTATGGCCACAAAGCCCTTGGGTGAGGACTGGGGGTAGACCACGTGTGCTTGTGACGTCCTTGTCTGACTGGGTGCCGACAAGGCACAGCCTCCAGTCCCTGCTGGCATGATGTCTTTACAACGTAAGGTGGGATCTTTTCCTAGGATGGAGTCACTATGTCAGGGGTGGGATCTGGAGGCCCCTGAATTTGAACATGCTGGAGTGAGGGTGTTTCCTGGGGAGGGGTATCATTTCTTGCTTTGTATATTGGCAGACTCCCTTCCTCTCCCACCACTCACAGTGTGAGGGTGCATGCCCTGACACTGGGCTGGGAGGATGGTCCATTTTCTGGACTGCAGCATGGCTGTGTCTGTCCTATGGGGAGGAGTCCAGGTCAGGCAGTCCAGATGCAGGCCCAGTGGATGTCGTGGGATGTTGGTTAGTCGCCAACATGGAGGATCCGTGAAGTCGTGGTGGAGGGGTTGGTGCCTCATCTCCAGACAGCTGGTTCTGACCTGGACCTGTGCTGCTCTTTTGCAGAGCTGCCTGCTTGTGACCTCGGGATTCTCGCTGTACCTGGGGAATGTGTTTCCTTCTGAGATGGACTACTTACGCTGTGCCGCAGGCTCCGTGAGCAATGTTCCTCGGCGGCACCCACCGCCATACCCTCAAGTTTCTGTGCTCCGAGACACACAGATTTCGGCCCCTAGTTCCTCCTTTATGATCTCTTCATCTGATGTTGGTTTCAAATAGGGCTGGGCATATTTGAGAATTCCTGGTGAAGCAGGTCGGAGCCTCGCTCTGCAGACGCTAGCGCTGGAGCTGGCCCTCTGCTCTCTAGCCTCTGCATCAGCTGCCAGGAGTTGGCAGGAGCCTGCCTTGGGGCTTGGGGACTGCACTCCCCCAGAGCTTTGTGCTGTTTCTGAAATCTCCTACAGTGCCAAGGCCATGGGGTCGGGGGCGATCCTCTCACCTTGGCCTCCCAAAGGACTGAGATTACAGGCTTGAGCCACCCGCCTGGCCCACATTACACGATTCTAAAGTAATGTGGGCCAGGTGGGTGACTCACACCTGTAATGGTGGCAGCTTGACTGGTGCGGGGGCTCATATCACAGGCTCTGGTTTCATTTCAGTGCATCCCCTCGGCAATTGTGAGCTTCGCTGTCTCGAGGAAAAATGTCAATGCGGTGAGTCCAGTGTCCGTCCAGTCTCCGTCCATCCTCTGCAGATGTGGAGGCTGCCCCAAGGCCCTGGCTGAGGCTCGAGCTGATGGCTGGGCGGGGAGGCGTGGAGGCCCAATCCCACCTGTGGTGGACAGGACAGGTGTGCACACAGGGATGCACACCTATGGCTCTCAGGAATTGTCCCCCCAGACTGTGGGACTCCCACCCTTCCCCAGCCTCTGCTGTGGGAGCAGGACAGAGACCTGAGCTCGCAGGGCCCCACCCCCGACTCCTGTTGCAGTCTTCAGGATTTTTAGTGAATGGCCTGCAGTTGGGTTTGATGCCTTTTCACCTTCATTTCTTTGTTATTGAAGGAAGGAAAAAACCCCTGCCATGTTTTGCAGATGCCTAACTTCCAGATACTGTTTGTTTCCACATTTGCTGTGACTACCACGTGTTTGATATGGTTTGGATGCAAACTAGTCCTGAACCCATCAGCAATAAACGTGAGTCTCCAGGGAAGGCTGGGGTCTGGGCAGCTCCCCGCTATGTCTTCCAGCTGAGGCCTGGTGCCCATGGCTCCACGCCGGCACCGGCGCATGTCTGTGGGTGTATGCTGAGTTGGAAACACACGGGGCATGTGTATCACAGCTCTGGAGTTTGACAGAGGTTGGGGATTGTGCCTATGCTTCTGAAGGAAAGAACTGTCTTTACTGAACTCTTATAACTGATTCTGGTGGATGGATTTACTGAAAAACAATATTTTTAACAATTCTTTTGCTGCAGTTTTAAAAAATTAGCAGGGACACAATACACTGCTTCCTCAGATCTGTGCTGCTGTTGATGTAAGACACAGCCATTTTATTACCTCAAAGGAAATGGAAGGGTGTTGTCACTTAAACCATGACGCCCACTGAGGAGAATCTCATAGGAGCCCAGGGCCTGATCAGAGAACCTCATGGAAAGCGCCGCTCTGTGTGCAATGTTGAACGCACCTTCTCACAGATTGGGAAAAGCACGTGTAGAGGGCCTGGCCAGGCAAGAAAAGTGGGCGGCACATGGGCCTCCCAGAGAGTGCCCCAGCTGCTCAGGGTGCAGACGCAGCAGTTTCCTCCGCACATCACGCTGGCGTCACGGAGCGCACACAGCAAGTCACAAACGGCGTAAGACATCGACCCGCCAGCAATGGAGACCCGAACATGTGATTTAAATACAGATGTCATGTAACAGAAGTAAACATAGAAAGGTCCCAGGAATGCAGCAGGCCAAATGCCTGCGAGACTGTTTGGTGGAACGTCACGACACTCGTCACTAGGACAGTCCAAGTATGTGGAAGACAGGACACACGAGACCCAGTGTCATGGAGGGGCCTCCTTTCAACCCCATCCAGGCAGGCACGTCTACCATTAGAGTCCCTGCAGGTCTGTGTAGAGACCCCGGGGCCAGGGAAGGGAACACCCCTTGAAGACAAGCTTGGGGGTGTACCCCCCACAGCCAAGATTAGGACAAAGCCATCCTAATAAACAAGGTGGTGGGACAGGGGTTAGCCTAGAGTGGCCCCACGTGTGTGGACAGCGGTCATGTAACCCGGGAGGCACCAATGGTGTGGGCATGCACAGCAGATCCTACTTCCCACCTAGCGTGCAGGTCTAAACCTGCATGGCTGCGGCACGGGTAGGCGAGACCGCACTGTCCTTGGCAGATGTGGAAGCACACACCGAGGGAACGGGTGGCAGTTCTGGCAGGAGCTGTGGTCCCAGGTGTGTGCAGGACCCTGCAGTTCCACGGGAAAGACATGTACCTCACCAGGAGCGGGAGCCCCACCACCCACAAGAGCTAGCTCCCAGTCAACCTTAGAGGGGTCAAACCAGATGCCTCTCTGTCCTGAGCGCTCACCTCATACCCGGTGACCGATGCCACGCAGGCCCCCTGGAAACAAGTGTGGGATCTGCAGGGGTATCCTGAAGATGCACAGACCCCGGGCCACCCACTGGGCAAAGCCTGGAGGATGCACACCTGGAGCCAGGAAGTGTGCTCAGGAAGGCTGGATTCAGAGCAGAAATCCCAACCTAAACAAATGGCCACACCCAGAATGGTGCTGGCATACAGCAGGCATTCAGAAACGTGTGGTGGACATGCATGACACCCTCCTGTGGAGTGTGGCCTGGGGACTGCACTGTCCTCTCCTGGAGCTCAAGCTCGCGGGGTCTCAACTCTACCCAGGCCATGGATCCAGAATCTGCGAGAAACTAGACCCTCCGGGGTGGAGTCCCCGTCGCACCAAGCTCCTGAACGGTTGTCTGAAGCTACTGTGGTCGAAACAGTGTCTTGTCCAGGGACGCACCTATCAGAGGCAAAACAGAACACCGCCAAGTGCAGAACATTCGGGAATGAGGCCCTATCTGCGCGGTGCTGGGATGCTTCCTCTCTGCTTCCCTGTCAGCCTTCATTGACTTTGTGTGCTTCTACCCTTGGGCAGCCCCAGGGCCCTCGAAGATGTGGTTGTTGTTGTGTTTGTGTTTTTTCCTTCCCCCAGTGGCACAGCTGCAGAGCTGCTCTGCTGGTACCTAGCCCATCTGGGACTGTGCAGCCTGGTGCCTCTTCCTGCGGCGCCGAGGCCACAGTGGGTGCTCTATAACCCGCCAGCCCTTTTTAGGGATGGACGCCTAGATCCAGCACCTCCGAAGCTCCACTCTGCAGATGGGGCTGGCACGGACACGCTTCTCTGTGGGCCTCATTTACCAAGAAGCGGGGTTGCTGGGTCACACATTCTACCTGTATCCATTTAGCCAGGCACCCGCCACCAGCCCGAGGCTCTTGTGTCCTGACACCCTGTCAGATGCCGTCCTCTCCAGTTTACACGACAGCAGTGATTGCCTTGTCTTGTCTTGATTCACATTTTCTTATGACTTTTTGACCACTTCTTCCTCTGCCTTCTTTCAGTGTGTCTGAAAACCCAGATGTGTTTTTCTTGCAGATGCAGGGCCCGCTTCTAAAGAATGCACTAATCTCCCCAGCAGGAGCGGTTCCGCCACCTCCCACCGGCTTGTCCATCCCCAGGCGACACGCATGTCTACCATGGTGGCTTTGCAGCGTGCTATGAGAGCTTGAGGGACATGCTGTCTGCTTTGTCCTCTTTTGCAAAGTTCGCCTTGCTTATTTGAGATACACTGTGGAGTAGGCTCACCGAGTTCCTGTAAGACCACAGCTGGAGTTCTGTTGTGATTGCCATAGGTTTATAACCACTTTCATGAGCACTGCATCTTTCTTATGTTCAGTTGCCCATCATTGACTCTTTATATCTCTTCATTTATTGTGTTCAGGTCACCTTCTCTGTCCTTTCTTTGGGCTCTAATGCTGTGAATGCTGCTGGTATTCCTGGTTAAGTGATTCCTAGATCACGTACAGATTTTGTTGCTAATAACGGTGTCTTTTAAAAAAAAATTTATATTTTCAGATTGGTTATTGCTGGTACAGAGAGATGCTATTAACTTTTAAAACTTTTTATTTAGAAACATTTCAAGACTCAAAAGAATTTGCAAAAATAGTACAAAGAGTGGCTATGTGTCCTCCACCCAGATTCCTCTGGTGACAATCTGTCACATGATCAGAGCACATTGACAGAGGAAATTGACATTGGTACGATATATTGTCTGAGGTATAGACCTTATTTTTCCCATTAGAAAATGGAATTTTATAAGTTGCTTTTGTGTCTGGCAACTTTGCTGAGCTCTTTTGTTCCTGTAGCTTTCCTGTGGATGGTCCCAGCTTTTCTGTGTTAGTGATCATGTCATCTGCAAGCAATGACCGCATCCCCTTTCAGGCCTGATGTCTCTATTTCCTCCCTCCCTCCCTCCTCTCTCTCTCTCTCTCTTCCTCTCTCTCCCCTTCAATCCCTCCCTCCCTTCCTTCTTTCCTTCCTTCCGCCAGAACTCCAGCTACTGTGCCAGTCATATTAATGGGCATCCCTGTCTCACTACTGATTTTCAGTGGAATGTTTCTGAAGATTCTCCACTAGCTTTTTGATATGTCACTTTGGCTTAGTTAAACATGTTGTCTTCAAGTTCTGGTTTGTCGCTTTACAAATACAAATATGTGATGAATTGTAATATGGTAGTGGCTTTTTGGCATATATGAGGATGATCTTTTCTATTTAGTTAATTACACTGTGAAGTACATTGGTGAACTTTTCTTTCCTGCAGTAAACCTTCCGTGGTCATGGTGGGATTCTTTCCAGTATTTGGATAGGTTGACAAGGTTGTGTTTGGGATTTGTGCAGCAAGGTCTGTAAGTGACATGGGCCTCTGTGTCTTTCGTCAAGATTATACAAGACTTGCAAAACGAACAAGGTGACTCTTTCCCATTTTTAGAAACGACTTGATATGATAAGAATTGGCTGTTTCAGCCGGGCTCAGTGGCTCAGCCTGTAATCCCACGCCTTTGGGAGGCTGAGGTGAGTGAATTGCCTGAGCCCGCGGGTTCGAGACCC